AGAGTATATGGAAAGTAAAAGAAAGGTGAAGAGAGTGCAAAAGGAGAGCTAATGATAGAGCGGGAGAGGCACTGTCAAGAAATTTTGATGAAAATAAGAACAAATTTTGGAGTGAGTCAAGTTAAGAAAGTCTAGGGGACGAATGGATTTGTCAGTTAAAAACAGAGTAGGGGTGTTAGTAGATGGAGAGATGGTGGTATTGGGTAGATGGCGAGAATATTTTGAGGAACTTTTAAATGTCGATAAAGAAATGGAGCCGGTAATTTTATGCATTGGCCAGGGAGGTGTACCATCTTTTAGGAGTGAAGAAGAGCAGGATGTGAGTGTGGGAGAGGTGCGTGAGGTATTATGTAGAATGAACGGGGATAAAGCAGCCAGAGCTGATGGGATCATGACAGAAATGTTGAAAGCAGGGGAGGATATAGTGTTGTAGTGGTTGGTATTTTTGTTTAATAAATGTTTGAAAGAGAGGAAGGTAAGGTACCTAGTTTAATGCACACAAACTGAAGAAGACATGCACAGTTTGTAGTATGTACTCTACTAACAATAGAATATATGACACTTACCTTTAATGAAGATCTGGTGATGATTGATGGAATGGGAGGCGGGGAGAGTGTCGAAGTTGTTAATGTTTAGGAGGGGAATCCCCTTCCAATAGGACTTGAGGTAGCAAGTCCTTTTCCGGAGTTAATTCTCTTCTTCTTTTAATGCCACTAGGACCAGCTTGAGTCACTGGCAGCCTCACCATGCCTAATCACACTTTGTATGCCACTATGATTCTTAAATCTTTCAAACCAACCTTTGCTGGCCTTAAATTCACTCACATCACCACTAGTTGCAGGCAATTTCTTTACCAAATCGTCATGCAACTGCCTATCCTTTTCACAAATGATCGCTTGAGAGATGCTATCTCCTGCTATCTGTTTTTCATTTATCCACACCAATAACAGTCTCTCAACATTTTCTAACACTTGCGGTCGCTATTTTGTAATCACAGTTGCACCTTTTGCAACAACAGCTTCCTTGATTGTCGTTTTCCTGGTCACTATAGTAGAGATGGTTGATTGGGGTTTTGTATACAACCTGGCCAGCTCCGACACACGCACGCCACTTTCATACTTTGCAATTATCTCTTTCTTCATTTCAGTAGTCATTAGCACCCGTTTTTCTCGAAGGGTTGGCACTAGAAGCTTTCTTGGGGCCCATAGTGACTTACTTTGCAGAAACAAGCACCAAAAACTACTGTGATAATATGGAATGTACCAAATGTATCCTTAGATGCGAGCACACTGGCTGGCTGGCTTGTAAACACTTGCGCACACGTGGACACGTCTCGGACGAATCGTATACCAGGTTTTTTAACGGGAACCGAGGCAAAGTTATTGTGATATAATGCATCGCATACCGGATTTATTGGATACCAATAGCGTCGTGAACCGGGGGTCCACTGTACCAGGAAAATTGTACAGTAGGGTTATAATTGAAAGAATTAGAGGTAAGACAGAATGTAGGATTGCGGATGAGCAAGGAGGTTTTAGAGTGAGTGGGGGATGTGTAGATCAAGTGTTTACATTGAAGCATATATGTGAACAGTATTTAGATAAAGGTAGGGAAGTTTTCATTGCATTTATGGATTTAGAAAAGGCTTATGATGGAGTCGATAGGGGAGCAATGTGGCAGATGTTGCAAGTATATAAGTTACTAAATGCTGTAAAGAGTTTTTATGAGGATAGTGAGGCTCAGATTAGGGTGTGTAGAAGAGAGGGAGACTACTTCCCGGTAAAAGTAGGTCTTAGACAGGGATGTGTAATGTCACCATGGTTGTTCAATATATTTATAGATGGGGTTGTAAAAGAAGTAAATGCTAGAGTGTTCAGGAGAGGGGTGGGATTAAATTATGGAGAATCAAATACAAAATGGGAATTGACACAGTTACTTTTTGCTGATGATATTGTGCTTACGGGAGATTCTAAAGAGAAATTGCAAAGGTTGGTGGACTAGTTTGGGAGAGTGTATGAAGGTAGAAAGTTGAAAGTGAACATATAAAAGAGTAAGGTGATGAGGGTATCAAATGATTTACATAAAGAAAAATTGGATATCAGATTAGAGAGGAGTATGGAAGAAGTGAATGTTTTCAGATATTTAGGGGTTGACGTGTCAGCAGATGGATTTATGAAGGACGAGGTTAATCATAGAATTGAAGGAAAAAAGGTGAGTGGTGTGTCGAGATATATGTGGAGACGACGTTATCTATGGAGGCAAAGAAGGGAATGTATGAGAGTATACAAGTACCAACACTCTTATATGAGTATGAAGCTTGGGTTGTAAATGCAGCAGCGAGGAGACGGTTGGAGGCAGTGGAGATGTCCTGTCTAAGGGCAATGTGTGGTGTGAATATTATGCAGAAAATTTGGAGTGTGAAAATTAGGAGAAGGTGTGGAGTTAATAAAAGTATTAGTCAGAGGGCTGAAGAGGGGTTGTTGAGGTGGTTTGGTCATTCAGAGAGAATGGATCAAAGTAGAATGACATGGAGAGTGTATAAATCTGTAGGGGAAGGAAGGCGGGGTAGGGGTCATCCTCTAAAAGGTTGGAGGTAGGGGGTAAAGGAGGTTTTGTGGGCAAGGGGCTTGGACTTCCAGCAACCGTGCATGAGCATGTTAGAAGTGAATGGAGACGAATGGTATTTGTGACCTGACGAGCAGTTGGAGTGTGAGCAGGGTAATATTTAGTGAAGGGATTCAGGGATACCGGTTATTTTCATATAGCTGGACTTGAGTACTGGAAGTGGGAAGTACAATGCCTGCACTCTAAAGGAGGGGTTTGGGATATTGGCAGTTTGGAGGGATATGTTGTGTATCTTTATACGTATATGCTTCTAAGCTGTTGTATTCTGAGCACCTCTGCAAAAACAGTGATTGTGTGAGGTGAAAGTGTTGAATGATGAAAGTATTTTCTTTTTGGGGATTTTCTTTCTTTTTGGGTCACCTTGCCTCGGTGGGATACGGCCGACTTGTTAAAAAAAAAAAATTAATGATGAAAGGCGATTAACCCCATAAACGGTCCAAACCTGTATGTACGTTCTCTACCGTAGTGCCCCAACTTTTTTTGGGAAAAAAAAAATCTTTTTTTTAATAGGAAAAAAAGAGCACATGGTACCCAGGCATCCCCAATTATTTTAATATGGCACACAGTGAGTGCACACACCCATTCTCTCATGTCTAGGTGACTCAGGCTTGTCGTGGCAATGTTGAATGTATGACAAAAAAAAAAACGTATATATACGTTTGGGGCACTAGTGGTAAAAACGTATATATACGTTTGGACTGTTTACGGGTTAACATAAAATACTAAAAGTTTGAGAGAGAACAAATACACAGGTCAGTATGTCAGCATTTAAATATTGAGATTTCATCTAGCTCCTCACAGTTGGGGCATGTACCCAGCATAAAACAGGCATTATTATTCTACAAGCATGGTGATGCTGGAACAGAAAACTAACTGCTTTGGGATCTTAAGTTTGCCATTTGATACCTTTGAAGGGTTTTAATTTTTTTCCTACTTCCACAGCCTTAACCCTTTCAGGGTCCAGAGGCCAAATTTCAAAGTGTGCAAAAGTGTCCAAGAATTTTCAAAAAAAATAATTATTTTTTCTTATGAAATGGTAGAGAATTTTTTTCTGAAGGTAATAAAACAAAAAGTACGTAATTATGCTCTCGCAAATTTTGATGTGTCAGCGATATTTACGCATAGGCGATTTTGCCAACTTTGACTCCCATTTTAGGCCAATTACGTTATTCCAGTCGACCAAATTCTTAGCTATTTCACTAGTATTACTTCTATTCTATCAACTGAGCACAAGAAATCACCAAGTCAACTGTTTCAACTACAAAATAAAGTGATTGGAAATTGGTAATTTGGCCAATTTAATGCAAAGTTCAAAATATTTCAATTTCAAAATAGGGTCCAGAATAAACAATGCAGGCATTCCTGGCACTAAACTAACATTTCCTCTGTTCATTAGTTACGTTTTCAGACTTTACAAATGAATTCCATTTTGATTTTTTATTCACAATGAATTTTTATTCAAACCAAAAAATAGAAGATTTACTGTTATGCAATATTGTAATAATTATATAAATATCACCACATTTGTGAATGTATATTAGACCCACCAGCTGGCGTGTATTAGACGTGCGAGGTCATTTGTTTACTCTTGAACATCGGCAAAAGTTTAACATTTCTGCTTCTTTGAGCTCAGTTTCATGCCATTTCCATTACTATAACCAATCAAAATCATCTCTATTTCTGTAATATATCTTCCATTCTATCGAATGAGACCAAGAAATCGCAAATACACCTATAAAAAACACAAAGAACACTGCAGAGTCGCTGTTTCAGTCGAAAATTACGGTCTGTTTTTTTCTCTCGTTATGCAGTGTGTGCTGCAGGATTTGTTTTATGTGGTGCACACATACCAAATGTATTCTCTCATATCTAGGCCGACATTTACCGCTCACAGTTTATCAGAGTGAGCCGAGCTCATGGCGTAGCTCTACAGTTTGGACCCTCAACGTAAAACCGTAGATCTATGGCACGGACCCTGAAAGGGTTAACCTGGACCAGATTTGCACTCGTGAGCTTCTTTCCTAATTCTTTTAAGGAAGGATCCAAGGGTCTCTGATCCTATGGAAACAAACGTGTAATAATGAGCAGGTTCACTGTGCTTTCCTCTTTGGTTATAACTTCTGATGTTATTAAAAATAGTGTTGTGGCAGTAGACGGTATTGCTTTATTAAGCCAGCTGTAACTGTTCTAAGCTTTAATTATTTAGCTCCTTTTTCTGAAGGTGTGTGTAATAAAACAAATAAATCATATCAGTTTATACACAACCCACACATAGGAAAGAGTAGCTTATGACGACGTTTGTCTGACTTGGACCATTTACGAAGTCACAAATCAATTTGGTTGTGCATGTTTTATTTGTTTTTCTTTAACTTCAGCAGGGCATGGGTATGAGTAGTGGTGTAATGGCAGGAGGGTTCCCAGCAGCTGGAGCTCAGCCAACTGTACAACCTGCTCAGGCTGCTCAGCCTGCTGGCTTTGACCCATTCGGTGCCCTGTAACACTCTAGGTAAGATCATCCTCAGTTTAAATAGTGAAAAACATGATTATTTTATATTGCATTATAGTATTTTCTTTGACGTAGTCAGTTACATTATTGTCAATTATTTCAGGTTCATAATAGATGCATAATATTGGCAGTAATGAAGGAGAACATCAGTCTTCTTTTGTCACCACGTGTTGAGTGTTGTGGCTTCATCTATGTGATCCTTGCCTCAGGTTGTCTTCTGAGGCACTCTGAGATACTTCAAAATGTGCTAGTAGAGCTGATTGCTGTCGTCATGCTAAATGCATGTTGTATTTTTCACTTCAAAGTGTAGAATCTGTGATGTTTTAGGATGAACTACATTGTTGGCATGATACAAATTTCTATGATGGTAATAGATCATTCATCAAAAACATATGCCCAGATCATCACCCACAAGAACAAAAGATTAAATCATGCTGTCATTACCGAGTTGCCTGGTGTCCATTTCTTCACGTATAATTGATACATAAAATGTTCCAGATGATATACTGCCATTTATATGATTACAATTTGTCCACTCAAGACACACAATTAACAACTAGGCTTCTAATGTATAGCATGGAATTAATTTTAAGTAATATACAAAGGTGTATTATATAAATTGTACATTCCAGTGTCTGTGAGCAAGAAGTTCAGCCTTGTGGGATGTAGTGAGGTTGCTGTGTGGTGCATCTTTTGTATCATATTTATTCTCTCTTGACCTCAGCACAGTACTGTGTACGAACATTTTCTGCTAGGGTGAAAGGACAGTTAAATGAAACTTGTTGCCTGCCTGCCTGCCTGCATGTGTGTGTGTGTAATAAACTGCCTCATGGTCAAGACACTTCCTCATGATGGCCACTTGTGTAATGCCTTCCAGTTCTCTCTTAAGTATCAGTGATCTAAGAAGAGAAAATTATGATAAAACAGAAGATATTATTGGAATTGAGGTTTTGGCCATCAAAATAATCTTTAGGGAGTTCAGAAGCAAATAAAAAAATAAACTTTGAGTGTGTTGGTGAGGAAATAGCTTGATTTTGTTGTAGAGTAGAGGCAAGACTGGAGATCACCACACAGACAGAACCCAAGCTCTTATTACTCATATCTAAGTAATTAAAAACTATAGTAGTTGTATATAGGAAAGAATGATATTTGCAGTGGAAGTAGTTGAGAAGATAAATTGTGTGCATTCCAGTTTGTGAGATAGGCACATAGTTATAATTTTTAAAGTAAAGGTGCAAGCCAATACCCATATTTGCATCCTGTATGTGTTATCAATGTTGAAATATTATTGTAATGTCCTCCAGTTGGAGGGATTACTACATTGTTGGCTGAAGTGTAGATATGAATACCATCCTGCAGCTTCTCACCATAAACACAGGATGCCTTAAATTGTCTTCAGAATGTGTATGTGGAAGCATTTTTGTGTATGTTCATGTGTGTGCATGTACATATGTCCACTTGCAGGTGTGTGTGCTTATGTTTATATACCTGACAACCTTTGATGGTATGAGTGTAGTTACATGAAGCTATACTCATGGTGTCTTCTCTCTGGTGTTTAGTTTACCATAATTATTATAAATTTGCACTGGTTGTAGTACATCCTGCCTCTTACCTTCTGGTATGTACAGCGATCTAACATTAGTCAAAAATGTTTTCTAACATTTTGTTGTGTACTTTTTCTGTTTATATTTGTGGTCTCTTGTTCTTCCTTGGGTGGTGGTAAAAAATCAATGATTTTTTTAGTGTCATCAACAAAGAACAAGAGACCAGTTTAACAAAATATTGCAAGAATGTTAGAAAGTTATGTTGTTGAAAGTTACGAAGGAGAGAGAATTTACTACAACAATAAGATAGCTTAAACTATGATAAACTAAACATACTAACTGCAAATGCATCCTCACAAATATTGTGTCACAGACAAATATGTACAGAAACATAAACACACATGTATATGTATGTACACAAGATGTACACATTAATGCACATGTACATATAATATGCATTTAGTCTATCATGTTTACACACAATACATAACACTGGTACATGAATATATATTTACATGTATGCATTTTATTTGCAAATATAATGTTGATATTTTTCTTCATATTGGTCATTAAACTGTAAGACTTGTGATCTGTAATAAACAAACAATTGAACTGTTTAAATTTGTTATGTAATGTCTAGGGGTGGTAAATGTGATCATAGTTATTTATAAGTAGTATTGGATTATGAAGGCATCCCTCGTGTTTTGATGGTAACTGTTAGGAAATGCCAGCATTATTTAGTGAGTGAAAACTAAGGACCACATTGTAACAAAAGTCTTATGAAAATTCAGGTCAAACAGATAAAATCTTGGCTTAATGACAAGTAAATACTGTTGTTGAAAAGGCCTGCTGTTTAATAAATAATGAGAAGTATTCCTTATATAATGTTACCTTACATTTATTTATACTTTGTTTTTGTGTGTTTCTAACTTCTTTATTCCTGTAGTGTTTCCAGTTTTGCTGTGAAACTAAGTTACAAGCTTAACCCAGTAAGCTGGGTGAATTGTATGCCAGCAAAATGAAAGAGAATGTCTTATCTTGTCATCATGTGTCTAGTATTGAGGCTTCATCTGTGATCTTGCCTCAGGTTATTCAAGGTGGGTTCCTTGATGCAGTGAAGAGGCTCTTGATCTAAGGAATTGAACCTAATTACCCCCCACTCCCCCCTTTGGCCTTTGGGGAATTTCTCTTGGAAATTATAGCTCCTAGGTTGAGGAAAGAGGATTGGTATGACCCTTTCTGTTGAAGCCCTCAGTGGTGGTGGTGGTGTTTGACGTGTAATATGGATTATTTAGGAATGTGCTGATCTGCCCTTTGGAGTTCCACAGGGTGGCTTTGGGTGTATATCTGAAGGCTGCCTGCCAGTTTCGAGAGGTGGTGGCCAAAGGGGGTATTCCTCTCGATGGGTTTCCATTTGCACTCTCATCTGCCATGGTGGATGTAAGGTTGTCATAACTGGATTGCTGGTTTAATAGCATTAAGGCCTCTTCAAGGGGGGCTCCTTGGCGTGGTGAAGACCTGTCGGTCTTCTTCCACAGACCGAACCTAATTACCCCCCAATCTCCCTTCCCCTATCCCATCCTCCCCTTTTTCCTTTCCTCCTCCTCCTCCCCACCCCTCCCTTTTGCCCTTCCTCTTTTTGACCTTTGGGATTTCTCCCACAGGCGCGCTAGTTCCTAGGTAGGGAAAAGGATACTGGGGTCCATCCCATTCCGTTGAGGTTCTTGGCGGTGGCATAGTTTGCCGTGGAATCTGGATCGCCTGGGGATATCCCGATCCCTCTTCGGTATCCCGGAGTAGCTTTGGGTGTCTTTCGGGCGACGGATGTATCTCTGGAAGCCACCTTTCGGATTCCGGGGGTGGTGGCTGAAGGAGGTATGCTTTGTGGTGGATATCCGGCCGCCCTCTCTTTTGTCCACCAAGGTAGCTCAGCAGATGTGAGGTTGCTATCCCGGATTGCTGGTTTACTGGCATGAAGGGTAGGGTATGGCACGGGTTCCATGCTGCATCTGCGCTACTAGCGGTGCTGAGGTCCTCTTGGGCGTGGAGGGAGATTTCCGGCCCTTTTCATTCCTCCTGGGAACTATTCCTCCCCGCTCCCCCCTTTTTTATTCTTTTTTTTTTATTTTTATTTTCTTCTTTCTTTTTTTTTCTTAAAAACAAAAAGCAAAGGAGTAACCTAACCATGGAGAACCCAATCCATGAACCCACTACCCCCGGGCCCCTTCTTGATACTGCACCCCATTCTGACCCTGCCTTGTTTTTAGACCACTCTTCAGACACTCCTGATGCCCCTGTACCTCTTGCTGGTGCTGTTTCCTCACCCGCTTCAGGTACCGGGGCTTCGACTGACTCCTTCGATTTGTCTGAACTCCGCTCTCCTTTGACTATGCTTCCGGCTTCTCCCTCTAGGGTACGGCAATTTTCGAATCGCCCGCCCATTTCACGCCGGACCAACTCCGGTCCTACTCCTAAACGCCAACATCAATCTCCTGATGATGCTCCTTCGTTACCTTCCCATTCTACTCGGAAAAGACCGACACGTCATGCACTCCCTCTCCACGCTCAGTTTCGGACCACACAATGGACTAAATTCTTTAAGACCGACTTCTTCTTCTGCCTACCTTTCTGACCATAGTTTTGGCAAAGCACTCCTGTGTCATGTTGGTAGAGATATTTCATTTCATGCTCTCGAGAGCGGTACGTGCATCGTCACTGTCCAGAATGCTACCCAAGCTTGTGATCTTTCTCTCCTTTCGCATATAGATACTACTCCTATCACTATTGAAAAAACATCTTTCTCTCAATTCTTGTAGTGGTACTGTCATTCTGCCCCATACCATAGTCCAACAGAATTTCCAGTCATGTGGCAATGACATTCTTGAACAGCTGGAACTCCAGGATCTCCCAATCCTCAAAGTAGACACTTATGTCCTTCCTGCCCGTGGGCGGAGATGTTACCCTTGCAATGTAGCTCATTTAACTTTTGACAGCCGAGAACTCCCGTCCACTGTATATGTCGCGGGACATCGGTTACAAGTTCAAAAGGTGATACCTACACCGCAACAGTGTAGAAATTGCTGGCGTTTTGGTCACCCAGCGAAATATTGCAGATCTATGGCCGAATGCCCAGTCTGTGGTGCCTACGACCATCCTAATACATCTTGCAGTCAACCTCCATCTTGCCTTAATTGTAATGAAGCTCACCCTTCGTACCCCCGCTGTTGCCAGGTCTACTTAAATGAACGTGAAATCCATTGCCTCAAAGAGGCAGAAGGTCTCCCTTATGCTATGGCAGTTACTCATCTCCGCCTCCAAGGGAGACTACCCCATGTTTCTTATTCTCGTGTTTCAAAACATCCCCCCACTTCTAGGGTCCCATCTTCTGCAGCCTCCTCTGTTGTTACCCCTCCCATAGCCACTCCGGCATCTAATCCTTTTGCTGTCCTTGGCTCTGACGTCCCGACTACAACTCAGTCTGTTCTCACATCTTCGCGTCCTTCCTCACAAGCCCCAGTATCGATAAGACCTCGTACGACACCTAATACCAATCGCCCCTCTACTTCTCAGAAGTCCAAAAAATCCACATTGCTCAAATCTTCTTTCCCCCTTCCTTCCCTTCTTCCACCTCCACACTTTACCTTTCCAGTCTCTGTACCTAGTTCTTCCCCTCTCTCTGGCTCTATTACAAGTGTGGAGATTCACCCTCCTCCTCGTACTATGCCTTCCACCCCCGTCCCCTCCCAAGTTTCTCCCTCTTCTGCCAACTCCAAGGTTTCTGCCTCTTCTGTCCCCCCCCACACTTCATCTCCAGTCCCTTACACTCTTTCCTCCCCCTCTACTTTGGTACAGTCCATTACTGTCCCAATCTTTACTCACCCTCCCCCTTCTATCTCCAATCTGGTCTCCCATACATCTTTGAATTCAGAAACACTTGAAGCCATTTCAGAATATATTGCAGAGACTAAACCTTCAATGAACACTGATTCACTTCCTGTTCCTTCTCTTCCCTCTCCTCCATCTTCACAACCCCATTCTTCGCAACGCTCCGTTCCTTCGCTGCTTGAACGTCTTCAAGTGCCACCACACGTTGACTTTTCTAACCCCTCTAGTCCGTAGGTGCCTTTCCCTACGGATTCCTGGTATTTTCTTCATCGCCAATCATGCCCTATTTACAGTGGAATATCCGCGGCCTCGGGTAATCGGGGTGAGCTTCAGATGTTGCTTTCCAGGTTTTCCCCTGTTGGTGCTTGCCTACAAGAACCAAAATTACACTCAGCTGTTTTCCAACCTATCTCAAGCTGTAATTTATTGTATTCTTCGGATCCTTTCTCAGATGGGACCTTTAATGAAAGTGCCCTTCTTCTACGCAATGATATTCCGTACTGTCAACTATTTGTCCATACCTCGCTGCATTACACTGCAGCCCGTATCCACTTGAATAAGTGGTTTACAATATGTTCTTTATATCTCTCTCCTTCTCGAGCATTTTCTATCCCAAACTTTACCTTTATTGTTTCATCCTTTACCACCACCACTTCTGTTACTTGGTGATTTTAACGCCCACCATTTCCTCTGGGGGGGGGGGGTCTCATTGTGACACGCGTGGCATCCAGTTGGAGGCTTTTCTCACCTCTCACCCCCTCCATGTTTTAAATACAGGTACTCCCACCTATTTTGATTCTCTTGCTCATATTCTCTCTCTTGCATCGATCTATCAGTCTGCTCTTCCTCCACTGCACTAGACTTCACCTGGTCTGTTCTACCGAACTTACGTGACAGCGATCATATTCCAATCATTCTTACTTCTCCTTCCTATTCACCACCTTTCCGTAGCCCTCGCTGGCAGTTCGATCGGTCAAATTGGGATCTTTACTCGCAACTCACTGCTTTTAGTGAGGTTCCTTCTTCATCCTCCATTGATGAGCTCCTACACCTCTTCTCGACGTCAGTTTATACCGCAGCTTCTCATTCTATACCCCAAACCTCAGGCAGGCATTCTCAGAAATGCGTGCCTTGGTGGTCTCCTGCTTGTGCTCGTGCAGTACGTTTGAAATGCGCTCCATGGGGCAGATACCGGTACAATAGAACCGCTGAGAGACTTCTTGATTTTAAGCAGAAGCGTGCGATTGCTCGCCGTGTCATCCATGAAGCTAAACGCAGTTGCTGGCGAGACTGTTTCCACCATCACCTCTCCTTCTTCTATGAGTGCAGTCTGAAAAAAAGTGAGGAAATTGAGTGGTAAATACTCTCCTGACCCGGCTCCTGTTCTACGGGTCGCTGGTGTTGATGTAGCAAGCCCTCTCGACGTTGCCATTGAACTTGGCACACATCTGGTCTGTATTTCCCGGGGGCTCCATCTATGCCTCTCGTTTCTAACCTCAAAGTCTGCCAGAGAGTTAGTACCCTTGGACTTTTCTTCTCTCAGAGAAGAACAGTATAATGTGCCTTTTACACTTCAAGAACTGGAGGCAACGCTCTCAGCTTGCCGATCATTGGCAGCTGGGCCTGAAGACATTCATATTCGTATGTTACAACATTTACATCGGTCAGCCCTTGTAGTCCTCTTACACCTCTTCAATCTTATTTGGGCACAAGGAGTTCTTCCCCAGCTGTGGAAATTTGCCATTGTTCTCCCTTTCCACAAACCGGTTACTACAGGACATGATGCCTCCCACTATCGTCCCATCGCTCTTACTAGTGCAGTTTGCAAAGTGATGGAACGTCTCGTAAATCGACGTTTAATGTGGTATTTAGAGACACACAACAGTCTCTCCGCTAGTCAATATGGCTTTCGTAAGGGCCGTTCTACCATAGACCCCTTACTACGCTTGGATACGTATGTTCGTAATGCCTTTGCGAATAATCACACA